ACTCAAACACAGTAATAAAATGTGTGGATTTACTGACGCAAATTACATGAACACACACACACAATCACAAGTAATACATGAATATGGAATATGGATAATGAGTCTGGAGATCGTCAGCCTCTTCTTCCACGACCTCCAACACTCCTTCAACTGGGCAGAAGGGCAGGAGTTTCACACTCTCACAGGAGGGCCTCTTCACCACGTCGGCACCTCTCCTTCACTGTCCTGTCATCCGTACACACTGTCCTCTCTGACAGTCCTGGACACAAGCTGCCTTGCAGCCTATTCTACTATTAAAGTAATAAAGTCTTGCTGCCACATACACAAGTAAATATTGTGGCCTAACTAGCCTACTCATACAAGGGGTAATGGGAGGGAAAAATGATCTACCTTACACTCCTGGCTCACGACGCCTGTCCCTCGATGGTGTGAGGTTCCCACGCTTCCTTGGGTCGATCCTCGACGATCCAGGGCGTTCCACAGGTCCTCAGGTGTCGTGAAGCCTTCGCGTCGTCGCCGTTCCAATCCCTGAGATTCAGCTGCCCCAATCCTGGTTCATCGATGGGCGCTGAGCTAATCACTATCTTTCCCCACACTCGCCTCTCCCACAGGGCGTCGCTCCTTGTCCTAGGCACGGTGTCGTCCTTCCAAGATTCTCAGTGGATGTGACCCCAGTCACAGCTAGCTTGCTCGCCCACCTTCCAGACCTCAACGTCCAGCCAGCGGCGCCGCCCAGCGTCGTCGCCGACTATTTTCCAAGTTTGGGCACTTCTCTGCTCACTGAACTTGGTTCCTCTTTGGCTTCCCAGAAGCGCAGGGTCTCCAATAACTATGGTGGCTGCGACAGGCCAGCTCAATCCACTGAACAAGGCTTGCAGAGCCTCCAATCCCTGAGAGCAGACCGAGGCGCGTCCTGTCGCTTCCACGGTCAGTACAACTCTGACGTTGGCGCCGCCCGGGGCACTCGGTGACGTCATGGCGGGCCCTGATTTGTCGCCCGCGACCTACGTCGGCCAATCCGCGATCGGCTTGTCTCCCTTCCAAAAGGTCATATCTGCCGTAGGGGATACTGTTTCATTTTATAACAGGGCGCCAATTTTCCTTTATTTACAACTTATAATATAACCTCCTTCCATTAAATGGCAGCCGGTCTGGTCGCCACATATATCATTAGACTCCCTGAACCTCAGAGAATCAGTAGGGAGAGCTGATATGACTCTTTAAGCCGGCAAACGAAAGAAATAGGAGAGGGCACCGTAACATGGTGAGTGGAATTTTCCACAAATGACGCTGACATAAGGGAAATTGGTTTCGAAACCCCGCTGGGAATGAGTGATCACAGTGTATTGATGTTTGAGTATCTGGTCGAAGTAGGGTTAATATACTCAAGGAAGGGGCCCAGAAAACAAAAGATTGGCATTCTGGAAAGGAAACTATGAGGAGATAAGAAAATTAATAACAGGTATATATAACTTGGGAAACAGAGTTCAGAGGAAAGACGGCCCATAACATGATGGATTACATCACGCAGAAGTGTAATGAGGCAGCAGAGAAGTTCGTTCCAGTTCAAAAATGAAAAAAAATTGCAGACGAGAAGCCCACGACTAATATAGTCCCGATATTCAAGATGGGTGATAGGCAGGAGGCACTAAACTACAGGCCAGTGTCCCTGTAGAAGATTGTGGAGATTGTGTCCCTGGAGAACATTGTGCGAAAAAAGTTAGTGGAACATCTGGAGCGAAAGAACTTTGTAACACAACATCAACATGGGTTCAGGGATGGCAAATCATGCCTCACAGGGTTAATTGAATTCTATAACCAGGCAAGAAAGAGAGGGCTGGGCAGACTGCATATTTTGGAATGGCAGAAAGCCTTTGACACAGTACCACATAAGAGACTATTGCACAACATGCAGAGGCAGGCAGGAGTGAAAGGGAAGGTATTCCATTGAATAAGGGAGTACCTAAGCAACGGAAGACAGCGAGTCACTGTGAGGGGGTGGGGTCTCAGATTGGCGAGATATCACCAGTGGAGTCCAATAGAGATCAGTCCTTTGACTGATACTCTTTCTGATATATGTAAATGATCTCCCAGTGGGAATAGACTCGTTCCTCTCAATGTTTGCTGATGATGCACAAATTATAAGGAGCATTAAGACAGAGGAAGATAGTATGAGGCACCAAAATGACTTAGACAAACTGAAAGAATTGTCCAACAAACGGCTACTAAAGTTCAACCCAAGTAAATGTAAGGTAATGAGACTAGGTGGAGGGAATAGGAGGTCAGACACTGGATACCGAATGGGAGATGAAGTCGTTCACGAAAAGGATAGAGAGAAAGATCTAGGAGTTGATATATAGCCAAACCTGTCTCCTGAAGCCCACATCAAAAGAGTAACATCGGTGGCGTATGCGTATGCGAGGCTCGCCAACATCAGAACTGCCTTCAGAAACCAGTGTAACGAATTTTGCATGACCTTGTATACCACATATGTAATACCAATCCTGGAGTATGCGGACCCAACATGGAGTCCGTACTTTGTCAAGCACAAGACGAAGCTGCAAAAAATTCAGAGGTATGCCACTAGGCTAGTTCCAGAACTAAGAGGCATGAGTTACGAGGAAAGGCTGAGTGAACTGCACCTCACATCGCTGGAAGACAGAAGAGCTCGGGGAGACATGATCCCACATACAAAATTCTCAGGGGAATTAACAGGGTAGACAAGGATAGATTATTTAACACGGGTGGTACACGCACAAGGGGACACAGGTGGAAGCTGAATACCTAAATGAGCCACAGAGACATTAGAAAGAACTTATTCAGTGTCAGAGTAGTTAGCACTAGGAAGTGATGTGGTGGAGGCTGACTTCATACACAGTTTCAAATGTAGATATGATAGAGCCCAGTAGGCTCAGGGATTTTTATTTATTTATTTATTTTATTTATTTATATATATACAAGAAGGTACATTGGGTTTGTGAGAATACATTGGATAGTACAGTATTTACATTCTTGTAAAGCCACTAGTACGCACAGTGTTTCGGGCAGGTCCTTAATCTAGCAGATAATTTTAAGTAGGTAATTTCAATCAGAATTGATAAATGATAGATACATTACAAGAGAAAAAGGAGATGAGAGAGATAAGTAAGTATATTAAAGCACATTGTTATATTAAAGCTCTGATTAATTACATTGACAGCTTGATTAGTAATTTAAACAAGGTTAATAGACACCAAACAGCAGATTGACAGCACATATAAGACAGCAATGATCACAATGGTAAAGATGTTCAGATTGGGTACATAAAGATTGGGAGACTGGGTAGCAAAAGATACAGATAAAGAAGATTTATAAACACCATACAACAGATTGGCAGCACATATAAGAAAACAGCAATGATCACAATGGTAAAGATGTTCAAATTGGGAACATAAAGGTTGGGAGATTGGGTAGCAATTGATACAGTGCAATTTTAAGGCAAAAAGTGAAAAACTATGAAGATGAAATTAGGTACTTTTTAGTATTGACTTTGAATGATGTAAAAGTTGGACAGCTTTTTAATTCAGTAGGGAGTGAGTTCCATAAACTGGGTCCCTTTATTTGCATAGAGTGTTTACACAGATTAAGTTTAACTCTAAGAATATCAAAGAGATATTTATTTCTGGTGTGGTGATAATGGGTCCTATTACATCTGTCCAAGAAGAGTTTCAGACAAGGATTTGCATTTAAGAACAGGGTTTTGTAAATGTAGTTGACACAAGAGAATTTGTGGAGTGAGATTATGTTTAGCATGTTTAGGGAGTTAAACAAGGGGGCTGTGTGTTGTCTGAAAGCAGAATTTGATATTATTCTGATAGCAGATTTTTGCTGGATGATGATGGACTTGAGGTGGTTTGCAGTGGTTGAACCCCATGCACAGATACCATAGTTGAGATAGGGATAGATTAGTGCATAATATAGAGAGATGAGAGCAGAGTTAGGAACATAATATCTGATTTTGGAGAGTATACCAACTGTTTTAGAGACTTTCTTAGTTATGTGTTGTATGTGGGTACTGAAGTTGAGTCTCTTGTCTAGGAATATGTCAAGAAACTTTCCATCATTCTTATTGCTAATGTTTGCATTGTCAATCTGAAGCTGAATTGCATTTGTAGATTTGCTTTCAAATAGGATGTAGTAGGTCTTTTCTATGTTTAGTGTTAGTTTGTTGGTTGACATCCATAAGTGGACTTTTTTTAGTTCATTATTAACAACACCATTTAGTGTATGTGGGTTGTGGTTGGAGTAGATGAGGGTAGTATCATCAGCAAACAAAATAGGTTTCAGAATGTTAGAGACATTAGGCAGATCATTAATGTATATAAGAAAAAGAAGAGGTCCCAAGATGCTGCCCTGTGGCACTCCAACAGTTATTGGTAGAATGGGAGAGATTATATTATTGATGGCTACACATTGGTGTCTATCACTAAGATAGGATTGGATATAGTCCAGTGCATGGCCTCGGATTCCATAATGATGGAGTTTACTTAAGAGGTAATCGTGATTAACAGTATCAAAGGCCTTTCTCAGGTCAATGAAGAGTCCAATTGGAAACTCATTTTTGTCAAGAGCTGAGTAAATTATATCAAGGAGACTAATAATTGCATCGTTGGTACTCTTTTGAGAGCGGAATCCAAACTGTCAGGGGCTAAGAATGTCGAATTTTACGAGATAGGAGTAGAGCTGTTTGTAGATAATTTTTTCAAATATTTTTGATAGTATGGGTAGGTTCGATATTGGTCTATAGTTGTTTATGTCTGACGGATTACCTCCTTTATGAACTGGCGTTACTCTTGCTTTTTTAAGGTCTGTACACTAGTTGATTGACGGTGATTGACGGTTGAGAGGCGGTACCAAAGAGCCAAAGCTCAACCCTCGCAAACACAACTAGTTGAGTACAGCGAGAGGCGGAGTTTACCTCCCGGTGAGTAGTCATGTTTGCTGAGGACTCGTGGCTGGACTCCTCATAAAAGGGTGAACAGCACCAGGCGACTCATTCGTCCCGTCGGCACCGCTGCGACACGACTAACGATGGCGCCTCTCGCTGTGATCGTCTGCCTCTCTGTCCTCGTCGTCAGGTAAGAATAAGCCAGTCTCCGTTGGTCTGTGTCTGTTGTTCCCTAGGCGAAACGTTACGGACAAAAGAATTATGACAGCGATTACATGGCCCAGGGGCAGTGGTTGACACCTTTTGAGAAAACGGTATATATTTCTTGAGAAAGAAATTCTTGGCACAAATTTTTTTTTTATATTTGTTGAGAGCGTGAAAATTACGCACTCCGTAATAATGATATTAATAATAATATATATTAAAAATAGGCTAACTATATTTGTAGGCTTTTTATTTTACATGAAGCCTTAAATCTCAAGATACATTTCTAGGCATACATTAAGATTAATATGTATGTTTAGTTATTGCATTTCAAGGAAATATTTAATAATATTGCGAGATGTAAATTAATATATTTGTATACCAATACAAAAATTAAGAATTGAAACAAATAAAAAGATAGTGACTAAACTCACGACTAGATATTTTAGATGTTATAGATTTAGGGATAAATAGTACAATAGTACAATTACAGTATTTATTAATAGCAATCACAACAAACAATCGGTTTCATTAGAATGAAGAATTTTGTGATGTTTATGTTTATTTGTATACTAGGTTTGGGGTTTAAGGCTCTGTGATGATATGAAACATTGACTTACTGAGAATTATATAAACTATCTGTAATGTAGTATTTTCCTTGTAAATTGATTTATGTGTGTAAATCACGAAAAATAAACACGTGATTAAAAATGTGACAGTGTCAGACCACGGAGGAAAATTGAAACAGGAATTTCCTTAAGTACTTTCGTATATTAATACATCTTCAGAAGGAGTATTGACTCCTTCTGAAAATGTATTAATATACGAAAGTACTTAGGGAAATTCCTGTTTCAATTTTCCTCCGTGGTCTGACACTGTCAAATTGATGTATATATAATTTTTATATTGAATATTATTTAATAAAGAAACAAAATATATATGAACTAACTTTTACATGATGTTAATTTCGTATTTCTTAGTTTCTTTTTTTTTTAATTAAATGAAGTACAACATTTTCTTAGAAATGGGAGGTCAATCGACAATGTTTAATTTCATTCGACCCTTTATTTGCATGACATTACTGCTTTGGAGGCCTATTGGATTATCAAATATATATTTGCTTCTCGTGTGATGTCTGTGTGTTTGTCATGATTCGCATTGCTCTTTAGAGCTTTGTGAAGTTCTTTTTTTGTAAGCGTATGCAAGGATTTTAGGGAAGGTGCTGCATGTTGTTTAGGTTAGAGTTTGTTGTTGTTCTAACTGCTGAGATGTGTTGAGTAACGATTTGTCTGAGGTAGTTTTGAGTGATAGATCAGTGTGGTTGACGCTGGATAGACATAGAATAGGTGATTTGGTGTTAGGTTTAAGGCATTTAACAACTGTACGAGGTTTATCAAGGCCAAGGTATCAATCTTGCAGACTAGCTAACCACCAAGTATACTTTATTTCTGAACATGGTCGAGGACTAAATTAATTCTCAGTGTACATACACCAAGAAGCGCTGGGACATGCCTGCCTGTCTGTGTATGCACACTGGGAAGTTGCTGGGTACAACCCCTCGCCGTGTGGGTGGGTGGTTGGTTCACCATGGGTCTGGGCCCCTAAGTGCGCTCTCACAAATGACCAATTCAATTTAATTCTTTATTATGCACCCCATACCCATCCCGTGGGCGGTGGTGTAAAGGATTACAGAGGCATATAATCGGTTCAGGAACTGAACCCTCTAGTTCGTTTAGCTAAGCAAATAACAATCTTTTGACGATAGTTACACAATTATTAATGTTATATATACATGTACACACTCATGCATACATGTATTATATACATACGTATTCATATATACATACACATACATATTTTATCACCCACACAAATACACACATCAATAATCTTTTGTGTCACAAGTGATTCAACAAGAGGTTCACAACAGTCACTATACAAGGCACTTTACATCTATGGTGAGTCACACAGTTACTAGTCTTGCTGCACACCCACCCAACTGGGCGGCAGCTTTACAGTCATGTGCATGCATTACTTACAGTAAGCAAATTTTGGATACTGCGCTAAGATTTCGGGCAGCACATCATTATGAATGAAGTACTTATACATTTCTTGGACACTATTGGTGGTGATATCTCTAAATTCCGCGATTTTTTCACATTCCATTATATAATGACGCAAAATAGGCGAATAGTTCTGTTGACAGAGTTTACATTTAGTCAAATCTACATCAGCAGATGTTACAAATTCCCAGAGGTACTTGTAGCCACAGTAGTCACAAGTGACCGTAGCGTAAGAATTTCTATTTACGTCGACGCTTTCTTGGGATAACTTTGTGTGTTCAGTTGATTATTCATGATAGCTTAAGATGCCGGTAGTGATATAAATATTTACCTCTTGTTATATCGTAAGATACATGTAATATGGCCCTTAGGTCAATCAGGTTCAAGTTCAAGTATGTTTATTGAGACAAGAAAGAAAGAAATACATCTCAAAGGATAGAGTAGCTTAGGCTATTTCTACCCCCCCCCCCCTTAAATCAGGTATGGTATGGGTAAACCTAACAAACAAGGGCACATTTGTACAGAAAAAAAAAATTATACGTACTACCAATCAAAACTGTCTATCTCGGTAACCGTATACGTAATTACTGAGTTATAAACTGGGAACAGTCTCGGGTCTCTGTAGTACAGTCGGGTTCATTCTCGACTAAAAATCTGGAATTCTGGGTTTGAATCCCGGACGAGAGAAAGGTTAGGAGCGTTTCCTCTCACCTAATGCACCTGTTCACTTAGCAGTAAATAAGTACCTGGGAGTTAGTCAACTCGTTGTGGGGTTGTATCCTGGTGAGGGGTAGTAGTTCGACCTTAAGGGGGGGGGGGGGGGAGGACCGCAATACAAGACTAACTTGTATATATGTACTCCGGCTGCCTGTCCCCCGACACAATGAATTATCATTAACGTACCTGACCATCAAAACAAGAATACATAAGTCAAGGCAAACTTGTTTATACTACAAAGAAAGTGTGAGTTACAATCCTGGGGTGACTGCAATAGACCACGCAGTGTACCCAGACTCCCACAGGATGCAATCTGACGGGCCTCTTGGTTGTGAGCTGGCGACGTAGCCTACTACACTACAGAACCCGGAGCGCTCGTGTTAACGAGCGACAATTATAAAACGTCAAAACTCTTTACGGGCTCACCATAGCCCGTGCTACATGGACACTTCGTTCTGGTTAGCTAAATCTAAAACAACAATAACAACAGTCAAATCTCTGTACTCTCATAAACCCAATGTACCTTCTTGTATATAAATAAATATAAATAAATAAATAACATCACTGCAAATCCTGTGACTCGCTGTGTTCATTGAACACAGTTAGTTTACATACAAAATTGATGTTTTCTATCTTTGTAATGAGACCCCAGATCGATCCCTTTGCAAGGCAAGACATTTGACATCAGTCAGGCTTATCAAGGCTCCCTCTACATTCTAACCACTGATGTAGGAACTTCCCCTATATCTAGATGAAACACACAATAGTCAGCTTACTCCCGGATACCCCATTTACTGCTTGGTGAATAGAGGCATCTGGTGAAAAGAAACGTGCCCAACCGTTGCTATTCGGCCCTGGGATTGAACCGGAGTCCCTCAATTAATAAACCGAGGATGTAATTAAGCCACTGCGCTACAAGTTTCCCATCTTAGAACGGGATTAAAACTCATGTCTAGATTTATGTTAGTAGTATCATAAATAAATAAATATAAATATAAATATATATATATATATATATATATATATATATATATATATATATATATATATATATATATATATATATATATATATATATATATATATATATATATATATATATATATATATATATTATTAAATATGACCGAAAAAGTAAGATTAATAATTCTAACACGAATTTTCTCAATCTTTCGTACATTACGCTTCACTGTTGGAGGTAAATCAAAAATCACTTCTCCAAAATTCATTTTTATTTCTAGTCTGACGCGACACGGGCGCGTTTCGTAAAACTTATTACATTTTCAAAGACTTCACAAATACACAACTGATTAGAACTTACGTATCTCTGATTTTATATCTACATTTGAGTGAGGTGGGAGGGGTGATGTGGCATTAACACAAGACAGAACAAGAGGGGATATTAATAGGGTATTAAAAGTATCAACACAAGACAGAACAGAAACAATGGGTATTGAATAGAAGTGTTTGTAGAAAGCCTATTGGTCCATATTTCTTGATGCTTCTATATTGGAGCGGAGTCTTGAGGTGGGTAGAATATAGTTGTGCAATAATTGGCTGTTGATTGCTGGTGTTGACTTCTTGATGTGTAGTGCCTCGCAAACGTCAAGCCGCCTGCTATCGCTGTATCTATCGATGATTTCTGTGTTGTTTACTAGGATTTCTCTGGCGATGGTTTGGTTATGGGAAGAGATTATATGTTCCTTAATGGAGCCCTGTTGCTTATGCATCGTTAAACGCCTAGAAAGAGATGTTGTTGTCTTGCCTATATACTGGGTTTTTTGGAGCTTACAGTCCCCAAGTGGGCATTTGAAGGCATAGACGACGTTAGTCTCTTTTAAAGCGTTCTGTTTTGTGTCTGGAGAGTTTCTCATGAGTAGGCTGGCCGTTTTTCTGGTTTTATAGTAAATCGTCAGTTGTATCCTCTGATTTTTGTCTGTAGGGATAACGTTTCTATTAACAATATCTTTCAGGACCCTTTCCTCCGTTTTATGAGCTGTGGAAAAGAAGTTCCTGTAAAATAGTCTAATAGGGGGTATAGGTGTTGTGTTAGTTGTCTCTTCAGAGGTTGCATGGCTTTTCACTTTCCTTCTTATGATGTCTTCGATGAAACCATTGGAGAAGCCGTTATTGACTAGGACCTGCCTTACCCTACAGAGTTCTTCGTCGACTTGCTTCCATTCTGAGCTGTGGCTGAGAGCACGGTCGACGTATGCGTTAACAACACTCCTCTTGTACCTGTCAGGGCAGTCGCTGTTGGCATTTAGGCACATTCCTATGTTTGTTTCCTTAGTGTAGACTGCAGTGTGGAAACCTCCGCCCTTTTCCATGACTGTTACATCTAGAAAAGGCAGCTTCCCATATTTTTCTGTCTCGTAAGTGAAACGCAGCACGGAACTCTGCTCAAATGCCTCCTTCAGCTCCTGCAGATGTCTGACATCAGGTACCTGTGTAAAAATGTCGTCAACATACCTGCAGTATATGGCCGGTTTCAAGTTCATGTCGACTAAGACTTTTTGCTCGATGGTACCCATGTAGAAGTTTGCAAACAGGACACCTAGGGGAGAACCCATGGCGACCCCATCTACTTGCTTATACATGTGCCCATCCGGGCTCAAGAAGGGTGCCTCTTTAGTACAAGCTTGGAGTAGTTTCCTCAGAATACTTTCTGGCATGTCAAGAGGAGTACAGGCTGGATCACGATACACTCTGTCGGCTATCATTCCGATTGTCTCGTCCACAGGTACGTTGGTAAACAGCGATTCTACGTCCAACGAGGCTCTTATCCCTGTGGCCCGTGTGCCCCGCAGTAAGTCCACAAATTCCTTTGGAGACTTCAGGCTGAAGGCGCAAGGAACATAAGGAGTCAGCAGGCCGTTGAGTCGCTTCGCCAGTCTGTACGTGGGTGTGGGTATCTGGCTAATGATTGGCCGAAGTGGGTTTCCAGGCTTGTGCGTCTTGACATTTCCATACGCATATCCAGGTTTATATTCCCCAATGATCTTTGGCAGGTGGAGTCCGGATTTCTTGGCGTTCACAGTTTCGATCAGTTTGTTGACCTTTGCTTTTAAATCGGCTGTAGTGTCCTTCGTTACCCTTTGGAACTTAGTTTGGTCAGAGAGTATGATGTTCATTTTCGTCAGATATTCGTCTTTTTTAAGAATGACATATATTGGCGACTTGTCACCTCTCCTGACAACTATCTCCTTGTTCTCACGAAGGCTTTTAGCTGCCGCTTTAAGCTCGGGGGACAGTATGGTGCTTCTGTAGTTGCCTCGATTCTTTCCTCCTTCTGCAATAAGTTCTGCTTGTAAGGTATCTTTGGTAGTGACCTTCTTTTGTGTCTCGAGGTCGAATATGTCGTCCAACAGAATTTCCAACTCTACTTTCCGGGCCATTTCACTCGGTCTGGACATAACATGACAGTTTATGCCCAGATTTAGGAGAGTGACTTGGTCCTCAGTGAGGTTAATTCCTGCAAGGTTCAGGAAGCCATCTCTTGGTCGTGGAATTGCCATAGGTCCTCCATATAATGTTGTTAGTTTCTTGATAATCCTTGTTTCAGTGCTGAGGTGATGTTGGTCTGTGAGGATGTCGAGGTGTTGTTCAATGCGGGTACGGATACTATGGTCGATGTTGCTATTTCTCCACTCGTTTGTAGCATGAAGTAGTTGCGTTTTGTTGTCTTTGATTTCATTCTCTGCCTTGTATATCTGATCACGAATCAGATCCTGGCGATATTTTATCGTGAAAGCTTGATTCCTTGCTGCTGGGTCGTGCACTTTAATATTAGTATATTTTGGTAGCAGTCTTTGATGTAACAGTCATGGAAAAGGGCGGAGGTTTCCACACTGCAGTCTACACTAAGGAAACAAACATAGGAATGTGCCTAAATGCCAACAGCGACTGCCCTGACAGGTACAAGAGGAGTGTTGTTAACGCATACGTCGACCGTGCTCTCAGCCACAGCTCAGAATGGAAGCAAGTCGACGAAGAACTCTGTAGGGTAAGGCAGGTCCTAGTCAATAACGGCTTCTCCAATGGTTTCATCGAAGACATCATAAGAAGGAAAGTGAAAAGCCATGCAACCTCTGAAGAGACAACTAACACAACACCTATACCCCCTATTAGACTATTTTACAGGAACTTCTTTTCCACAGCTCATAAAACGGAGGAAAGGGTCCTGAAAGATATTGTTAATAGAAACGTTATCCCTACAGACAAAAATCAGAGGATACAACTGACGATTTACTATAAAACCAGAAAAACGGCCAGCCTACTCATGAGAAACTCTCCAGACACAAAACAGAACGCTTTAAAAGAGACTAACGTCGTCTATGCCTTCAAATGCCCACTTGGGGACTGTAAGCTCCAAAAAACCCAGTATATAGGCAAGACAACAACATCTCTTTCTAGGCGTTTAACGATGCATAAGCAACAGGGCTCCATTAAGGAACATATAATCTCTTCCCATAACCAAACCATCGCCAGAGAAATCCTAGTAAACAACACAGAAATCATCGATAGATACAGTTTGCCTCGCAAACTGTATCTTTTGCCTCGTTTGCCTCGCAAACGTCAAGCAGGCGGCTTGACGTTTGCGAGGCACTACACATCAAGAAGTCAACACCAGCAATCAACAGCCAATTATTGCACAACTATATTCTACCCACCTCAAGACTCCGCTCCAATATAGAAGCATCAAGAAATATGGACCAATAGGCTTTCTACAAACACTTCTATTCAATACCCATTGTTTCTGTTCTGTCTTGTGTTGATACTTTTAATACCCTATTAATATCCCCTCTTGTTCTGTCTTGTGTTAATGCCACATCACCCCTCCCACCTCACTCAAATGTAGATATAAAATCAGAGATACGTAAGTTCTAATCAGTTGTGTATTTGTGAAGTCTTTGAAAATGTAATAAGTTTTACGAAACGCGCCCGTGTCGCGTCAGACTAGAAATAAAAATGAATTTTGGAGAAGTGATTTTTGATTTACCTCCAACAGTGAAGCGTAATGTACGAAAGATTGAGAAAATTCGTGTTAGAATTATTAATCTTACTTTTTCGGTCATATTTAATAATATATGTCTACAGGAAAGACTGCTACCAAAATATACTAATATATATATATATATATATATATATATATATATATATATATATATATATATATATATATATATATATATATATATATATATATATATATATATATATATATATATTATATATATATATATATATATATATATATATATATATATATGTCGTACCTAGTAGCCAGAACTCACTTCTCAGCCTACTATTCACGGCCCGATTTGCCTAATAAGCCAAGTTTTCCTGAATTAATATATTTACTATAATTTTTTTCTTATGAAATGATAAAGCAACCCTTTTCTCTATGTATGAGGTCAATTTTTTTTATTGGAGTTAAAATTAACGTAGATATATGACCGAACCTAACCAACCCTACCTAACATAACCTAACCTATATTTATAGGTAAGGTTAGGTTAGGTAGCCAAAAAAAGCTAGGTTAGGTTAGGTTTGGTAGGTTAGGTAGACGAAAAAACATTAATTCATGAAAACTTGGCTTATTAGGCAAATCGGGCCTTGAATAGTAGGCTGAGAAGTGCGTTCTGGCTATTAGGTACGACATATATATATATATATATATATATATATATATATATATATATATATATATATATATATATATATATATATATATATATATATATATATATATATATATATATATATATATATGCTAAATATCATTACTGGTGTAGGTGCCTGGTAAGTTACTCTGTGTTTGATCTTCCAGCTGCCACGGGCTGACATGCTTCCCTTGCGAGGGTATCAGGTGCCCCGCCCTGGACACCTACGACTGTCCCAAGAGTGTAGTGAAGAGTGGCTGTAAGTGCTGCCACGAGTGTGCCAAGGTGAGTGCATGTGTCTCGTGTTTACATTGGTCATTGACTGAAATATAATTACAACATATAGATGTTGTAACAATATTTCAGAACATCATCCAAGTGTATTACATTATATCATTGTAGTTAATCATTATCGTATCACGGTGGCAGTCAGGATTATTGATCTTAGGCTGGTACCTCCCAGAGGGCCTCTTGTACACGCACAGAGTCATGTGGGGAATAAGAACATTGCCTAAACACTTCTCTCCTTCCGCGTGGAAATGAACCCCGGGACCTTTCGGTTGGAAGCGGACTGCACTCACCACAGAACCCTATTAATTAATTAACATGTTCTTTCTTCCCAGGTCCAAGGGGAGGATTGCGGTGGAAGCTTCAACGTCCACGGGCAGTGCGCGGAAGACCTGTCGTGTGTCGAAGTCGGCAAGGACAAGATTACTTTCTGGCGGGGAAGGTGCATGACGAGCCAGGAAGCCCATGACTTCAGCTCCACCACACCGATACCTGTGGGCATTACCCAATTCCTGTCGCCAAGATTCCCGTACGACTCACCACCAGTACCGCCGCCAGTCCCCGAACGGAACTGAAGAGGCGGAGTAACACTGTGTTGTGCGTTGAGAGGAACGGGGGTATTGAGGATGGAAGGATGCTGTCGCATGGCAGGAATACTAATACTTTAGCTAGTTCTCATTTACCTCCCTCATACAGCACCTCCCGCCCCTCCCCTTTCTCCTCATAGCGCTCTTCCGTCCCTCCTATCCTCCCATACACTTATTCCCTTTTCCTTAGGCTACACACAGTTTATGCTACACACAGTTTATGCTACACTTATATCTATATATATATATATATATATATATATATATATATATATATATATATATATATATATATATATATATATATATATATATATATATATATGGCAGATAAATATAGATATGGGTTATTTTTTATCCGGACACTAACGAAACACTTATCTGAACACTACGATAACCGCAGCAATGAATCTTGCTCAGTGTACACCTCTGACAACATACGCCGCCTCCCTCCACCTATACCACATTTTTCCGTTGTTGTTGTTTTAGATTAAGCTACTCAAAACAAAAGTTCTAAGTAGCCCGGACTATGGAGAGCCCGCGGTGGACTTACCTGGCACAGGAGTGGGGGCAGTAACTGCATTTTTCCGCTTTCTCCACCTACATATACACCTACACTGCTTCCACCTAGCCACCTACACCGCCTCAATCCACCTACACCTCCCCACCTTCACCCGCCAACATACACTTTAACATGAATGGTTGCTACAATTGTGTTCATCGTAACAAGGAGAGGTAGAAATAGCCTAAGCTACTCTATCCCTTTAAGATGTATTTTTTCTTGTCTCAATAAACATACTTGAACTGGAACATAGTGTTACGACCCTGGGTTCTTTATGGGAAACCAGAGGTCAAAATTGAGTTATTAAACTTAACTATAGTATAGCTGAACGCAACCCTATGCGTCATTGTCTGTATCTTCCCTGCCAGACGTAAGACTATTATTGTTTCTCAAAGAGCATTTAAAGACTGAGCTGGGGGTTGATTATTAAATAATAACATAGACACCAACTTTGCTTACTAATACTTTCTAATCATTTGTAAAGTAACAATACGTTGCATAGGGGAAGATCTTTAATGTGCTTAGCTGCACGATCAATTAGGCTCCTTCCGGCACCACGACATGCGGGAGGCCTAGCTGGTCGCTAGGAGCGTTCTTCTCTGGCTGGCTTTCGTGGGGACGAGACCTACTCTGTGGCTGCACCCCTACTCTCCTCCCTTCTCCTCTTACTTATTTCCCTTACCTGAAGTTCCTGTACCATTAAGTTAAGTACGGGGCGTTTTAAGTGTACCTACTCTGGTAGTAAATATTGGTGAGACCTGGGGGGTAGTATTTGCCAGTGTTTTGGGTACCCCTAAGTGTTGTGTTTTGTATTAGGGTACCACGTGGTCTCACTACCCTAAGCTGCATCCAGCTTCAGTGCTTATCCAGTAGTACTTTACCCTAGCTTGTTCTTAGTGTAAACCTTGTATCCTGCCTAAGTGGACCAAGGCTTTTTAACGTAAGGTAGTGTGGTAAAGTTATTATTATTATTGTTATTGGTGTGAGTGTATATGGGGGGTTGTTAAGGGGTTAATAAATAAGTACATGAATTATAGGAGTATCCCTTCTTCCTGTGTGGGAGTGCATTGATCAACCCTTAGACTGACATATATGGTCTAGTAGCAAGGTATTATTACTGTGAATAGTTTATTTTGGGGGCCGGGCCTTTTAGCTCTCCCATATTTGATACTCTTGTCTTCTAACTACCCTTACCCCTTAATAGTACCAGTTTCCCCATAGAAGCCCACCACACACAATTATTTATAACACATAGTAACAACACAGGCTATAAATCTGAGCCTCTCACACAATCAGGAAGATGCATAATTGGGTACATTTGATGTCTGATCTTACTGTTGCTGAGATAAAAGCAGAACATTAGCTATACTCAACAAACCTATTGAGAAAGAAGGTCACTTTGAGTTTGGTTTTTTAGCTCTTGAGTGGAAGATGGTGACGAGACAGATATATACAAAGGAATCTATATTAACAATTAATAAACCAAGAAATAAATAAGTTTTTTACTCTAATTTTAAGCTGATTTAGCAACACATCCAAAATCTTGTAAGAAGGTTGACATTATTATTTTTTTCTGTATTAAATAATATACAATTTAAAGATCAAACTTACATCAATTTACAAAGAAAAATACTACATTTATATATTTTTTATATCATTCAGAGCAAACCAATTTTCCATAAACCAATAAAACCTGAGTAAACTATATTTTCATTAAAATAAACCAATAACCCCAAATGTTATACTGTACTTGATCCTGTCTCGCTAGAACTTCAATATTCTGTCCACCGAGTAACCCTCCTGCCTGTCTATCCACACACAGTAGCCCTCCTGCCTGTCTATCCACACACAATAACCCTCCTGCCTGTCTATCCACACACAGTAACCCTCCTGCCTGTCTATCCACACACAGTAACCCTCCTGCCTGTCTATCCACACACAGTAACCCTCCTGCCTGTCAATCCACACACAGTAACCCTCCTGCCTGTCTATCCACACACAGTAACCCTCCTGCCTGTCTATCCACACACAATAACCCTCCTGCCTGTCTATCCACACACAGTAGCCCTCCTGCCTGTCTATCCACACACAGTAACCCCCCTGCCTGTCAATCCACACACAGTAACCCTCCTGCCTGTCTATCCACACATAGTAACCCTCCTGCCTGTCTATCCACACACAGTAACCCTCCTGCCTGTCTATCCACACACAGTAACCCTCCTGCCTGTCTATCCACACACAGTAACCCTCCTGCCTGTCTATCCACACATAGTAACCCTCCTGCCTGTCTATCCACACACAATAACCCTCCTGCCTGTCTATCCACACACAGTAACCCTCCTGCCTGTCTATCCACACACAATAACCCTCCTGCCTGTCTATCCACACACAGTAACCCTCCTGCCTGTCTATCCACACACAGTAACCCTCCTGCCTGTCTATCCACACACAATAACCCTCCTGCCTGTCTATCCACACATAGTAACCCTCCTGCCTGTCTATCCACACACAGTAACCCTCCTCCTGCCTGCCTGTCTATCCACACACAGTAACCCTCCTGCCTGTCTATCCACACACAATAACCCTCCTGCCTGTCTATCCACACACAGTAGCCCTCCTGCCTGTCTATCCACACACAGTAACCCTCCCCTGCCTGTCTATCCACACACAGTAACCTTCCCCTGCCTGCCTATCCACACACAGTAACCCTCCTGCCTGCCTATCCACACACAGTAACCCTCCTGCCTGCCTATCCACACACAATAACCCTCCTGCCTGCCTATCCACACACACAAAAATGTAATCAGAAAGTAGCATAATTATTGTGATTTTAATTTTCTTGCATTTTATGTAAATTTGAAACATTAAAATCCTCCTTAACTCCACTCTAATGCTTGGTCCACATAAAGCTTTAAGAGTGTCTGTAATCCAGTTGATAAGAACAATTTTCTGCTTACAGAAATAAAATATATGCATATTATTCTCAATTTCAGTACATTGGTCACACCTATTGTTGTCCTTAATGCCCAACATTAACAACATATCATTTGTAAGGAGGGTCTCATGAATACAATGATGCAATAGTTCACGTTGTTATGGGGCAATAAATTTAAAATGAAGGTTTGCCCATATTATTCACCAGTTAAGGAGTGGATATACCTCCTCTACTCTAGGAACTATATGTGGGAGCAGAACATCATACACTTGTTTACTGTTCAGCATTAAAAACCTTCAATATTTCAAATCCGCCTGAGAACATCAATTACGCATGAATAAAAGTGCAGTGAAATAAAGGTTAGGTCAGTATACTCTGGCATATGTATCAAGGTCAGTATACTCTGGCATATGTATCAAGTAGCTAACACGTATTTTACAAAATTAATTCCCTAGCGCATTTACACTATTCCTTTACATTATCTCTGTTATAAAGGTAACATAAGTTTGCCAATGACTTATGCTACACATTCAGTATTCCTATTCCACCGTTTTCTTACCTTTACATAGAGTAGTCCGTTTAATTGGTTGGTATCTACCATACCATACATGTCTAAAAATAGTTTTGTCAATCTCCATAGCAATTTTCTTGTCAATTGGAAAACTGAGACAAATACCACTTTAGACAAAATTTTGCAATTGATTATTGCAGCCTTCTGAAACAGGGTTAATTTCCTATTTGACAACATATTCGTAGCTACTATTATATTTCAACATAGTACTTGCCAATTAGTTTTAATAGACTCCACTACCTTGAACCGTGACCCTGTCCAGATAACTTTATTACACCAACTGCCAAGCCCCATCATACACGTTTTGTTCTTGTGAATGACAGCACTTGTTGCTCTCTTAAAGTTGTCTAACTCATCCTCAACATTCACCACTGAGTCTTCTGTCGACAAAAAAGTGTTATCGTCTGCATAACCAACAACAAGAAGTATCATAGCATTGGGAAGATAAGGTGAAACAATATAGTCATTACTTTGTATTGCCAAGTACAGTAGCTCTTGAAAAATAACATACAAGATAATTGAAAGGGAACATCCCTGACGTACCGACCGTTCTATTGAAAATGGTTTACTCAAGACACCATTGATACAAACGCTGCCCCGACACTTTATGAAGCATTCGGATCCAGTCAATAAATTCTTGTGCCACTCCTGCTCTATCCAATATTTCTAATACAAACTGACCATCAACACGGTCAAAAGCTTTCGACCAGTCGAGGTTTATCATGGAGGAAGGAACAGCATTCTCAGACACATAATACACAACATTCCTAATTACATTATTACAATTGATTATAGATCTTCCAGGCACACCACAGACCTGATCCTTGGATATAATTTTATCCATTGCAATCTTAAGTCTATTCGACAACAATTTCGAGATTATTTTGTAATCATGGTTGAGGAAGGAAAGTGGCCTCCAGTTCGTTACAATATGCATATCACCTTCTTTTGGTAGCATCTTAATAATCTTATGAGATTGTGACATGCTAAGCTTCCTATGCTGTATGCTGTACTGCACCACTTGTACAAAGTCTTTACCAATGATATCCCATAGATAGAAATAAATTTCCGCCGGGAACCCGTCACAATTTAAACTTATTTACTATTTTTATTGAACGATTTACTATTTAAACTCTTAACCACACTCCCACCTCCTGTTTATC